CTTCTCCTTCGCCTTCGGTCCCTCTCCTCCGTCGCCCTCCACTCCCTCTCCACCCTCACCTTCTTCTGCTCCTCCTCCCTCTCCTCCCTCCTCCGCCTTTCCATCTCCTCCCACACCTTCCTCAACCGCTCTCTCGTCTCCGCCTCCCTCTCCTCCCTCTTCTCCCTCTCCTCCCTCGTCTTCCGTTCCATCTCGTCCCACATCCTCCTCTCCCTCTCCCTCCTCTCCCTCTCCACCCTCTCCCTCTCCTCCCTCCTCACCCTCTCCCCCCTCGCCCACTCCTCCCTCACCACCTCGGCCCTTACCCGCCTCTTCTCCCCCATCTCCCGCTCCACCCCCTCCAACAGGCCCCGCAGCTCCGCCACCGTCGCCGCCTGCCCCGCCCGCTTCGCCTCCAGCACCAGCCGCCCCGTCCGCCGCTCCACCGCGCGCCGCGCCCGCCCGTCCGCTTCCTCGGCCTGCTGCGCGGCTTCTTCGGCCGTGGGTGCGGGCGGCGGCGGGCCGCTGAAGAGGTTGAAGGGGAACCAGGAGGAGCTGTTTCGTGTGGCGGCCGCTGCGAGGGCGGCGGCGGCGGCGGCGGCGGCGGCGTCGTCGGCTTCTTGGGTGGAGAGGTTGGTGAGGGAGGTGGTGGTTTTGTGGAGCGCGGCGGTGGCGGTTGTGAGGGCGGTGGTGAGGGTGGTGTGGCGGGTTTGCAGGGCTTGAAGGGCGCTGTCGAGCTGGGCGAGGCGGAAGGGTGTATTGTTGGTGGGCTTGGTTGTCGGAGGGGGAGGGGGTGGTGCTGGGGTTGGTGTTGGGGTTGGGTTTGGGGCGTGGGTTGGTGGTTGGTTTGGGAGGTTGTTTGGATCGTACTGAAGGGTAGTGGTAAAGGTCGTAGTCTCGGCGTTTGGCGGCGTCTTTGAGCGTCGAGTAAGCCGCGTTCAGCTGGGAGCGAGGGTGCATATGTCAACGCCATACTGGGAGTCTGGGCTTTGGTCTTCCGGGACATACCAACTGAAAGTCGGCCGTAGCCTGTGGGTTGTCGAGGTTCTTGTCGGGATGCCTCAGCTTGGCCAGACGCTTGTAACTGGCCTTGATCAAGTCCTCATCCCCGGTCTGTGTGATGCCGAGAACGGCGTAGTAATCATGGGTGATTGTTGAACCCACCATTGCTTGTCGTCAAGAGTTTCTCTGACTCTAGAACTGACGTGAAGGGACCGGTGGTGGAGAGGAGAAACCGGAGCGGCTCAAGCTGTCCTTGTGGTACGAGGCTGGGGTCGCTGTCGGCCTCCGTGCAGCACGCCACACCTATCAAATGGCTGGAGTTTATGCGCGTTGGTTTACGTTTCTTTTCAGTGCAGGACCCCAATAGGCAGCAATCGGTTAATAACAAGTCCAATGATTTGATGGTATAGTTACACTTGATTGTTTGAGTATGATATCCCCCTGACATCTGGGAGGTCCTGCAATGGATCCAGAAGCTGATATCAACTAAACCAGATAACATCCCCCATACACAATCCCAACGCCATAGATCCCATCCCAATATAAACACACCCAACGCCATGCTCCAACCCAACCCAAAACCACACTTTTCCCACCCGTCCCAAAAGCAACCCCATCCCATCACAACCTACACCCCTACTCCTCCCGATAAATCACGCCCACTTCCCCAACAAACTCATCACCGCCATGCCCACCACCAACGCTCCCAACCCCAACACCGTGCGCACCGGCCCCGCGCGCGTCATCTCGCCGCCCAACATCCAGTCGTGCGCCCACATCTCCACCACCCCGACCCACACCAGGATGCCGGCCGAGAAGGCGTCCAGCGTGCCAATGGCGATGATGGTGGCCGGGTCGTTGCCGTTGAAGTTTTGCAGCACGCCGATGCCGATGCCCATGCCGAGGGGGGTGACGATGGCGAAGGCGAGGGCGAGGAGGAGCTTTTTGCGGAAGGGATACGGAGAGGGATGATGTGTGGGGGGTGGTGGAGGTGGCGGTGTGGGTGCTGCTGTTGGAGGCGTCGGTTGTGGCGTGGGCGGTTTTGGGTTCGCTAGTGGTGGTGGTGGTGGTGGCTGTGGGGGTCGGCTCGTCGCGGGTGTGGTAGTGCTCGTGGCCGTGTGCGTGGTTGTGGCCGCCGTGGCCGTGGCCGTGGCCCATGATTGGGGTGTCTGTGGGGCAGGGGCGGCCCAGCGCGGCGATACGCGTGCCCAGGGCGAGGCCTTCGAACATTTGGTGGAAGACGATTACGGCGAAGAGAGTGAGGAAGAAGGTGTCGCCCGCAACGACGAGAGTGAGGCCGATGACTGGGGAGAGGGGGTTAGTGGGGTGTGGTTGGTGGGGTAGTTGTTGGGAGGCTTACGGAGGGAGTGGAAGATGACGCCGGCTTCCAGGACAGCAATGTTGACCATGTCGGTGCGGGCTTCAGGTGCGGCATGACCATGGCCGACTGCCTCGACCGTGCTGGGCTTGGCTTTGGCCTCGTGCCATTGGACGAGACGACTCCCGCAGTACTCAACCAAGAAGGACAGGAAGATACCAGCCATGAGGATGGCAGCCGCGGTAGCCTCGTACTCGAGCTCGCCGAGACATTCGTTGGTGAACATGAGGTTGGCATGTGTGTAGAGCTATGGCCGAGTTAGTGCTTGTGGCCGTGGACCAGGGTTAGACGTCACTCACGTGAACAAAAGCGGTCGAGATGATGACGCCAGTGCCGAATTGCCTGAGGACGGTGAAAACGGGATGATTGGGTGAGACATAGGAGGCCATCAGGATTGGGGTAAAGACGCCAATGGAGCTGGTAGCGAGCATGGCGAAGAGGAGGCCGACGCGGAGATTGATGTTGTAGTCCCTGTCGACGCGTTCGCAGGTGTTTTCCACGCCAGTACAGTGCCTACCACGGTTAACGTTGCCTATTATGGAGGAAAAGAGAAGTGTAATACTTACTCGATACCGGCATGGAAATGACAGTCCTGCCCCTCGGGATGGCTCTCGTCCTGCCCACCCTCCTCTTCTCCGGCGACATGGAGTTCCACCTCGTCACCGTTGGGGCCGATACAGAAGCTAAACAATGTCAGCGTTTGAGGCGGGAGGATGGCGCAGAACATGGCTTACGTTTCGGTCCCGTGGCTGTGGCACCCGGTGAAAGCCGGCGGAATATCCTGGGTCGCCGTTATAGTGGTGTGAACTTCATACTCGACTGTCCCACCCATGCAGTAACTAAACGGTGGTTAGAATGGGCCAGGAATGGCAGGATAGGACCGGTCATCACTCACAGTAAAGTACTATGGGTATGGCATTCTGACACAACCGTGATGCTGGTAGGGGTGTCCTGGGTGGTCGGGGTTGGCCCGTCGGTTTGTGCGGCGGCAATGACCTGTACCTCGCCGGTAGGGGCCATGCAGTACCTGGGGATGTTAGTTGACAGACACCAATGAGAGGACAGGAGGGAGGCCTACATGTCGGCGCCATGGTTGTGGCAGTCAGTGTAGGACGAGGCAGTGACGTCGCCCGATATCCTAAACTCCGAGGTACCTGCTTGGCAGTATCTACAGGCCGCGGTTAGTGTCAGAGACACGAGGTACGTGACTAAAGGGCGAGGGGGACATACTGGACTGTGCCATGCTCATGACATTTTGACACAGCAGTGATAGTGGCCGGATTAGGGTCTGAGACAGAGGGGTCCACGTGGGGCGCCCTTTGGTAGACTGGTTGGGCGGTCGGAGAAACAGCCTGTGCGATAGGCACACCAGTGGCGGCCAGGAGGCCGTAAAGGACGGCGGTCCGGAGAGGAGAGGAAAGCCGGGCCATGATGTACGTGTCCGGGAGAGAGAAACGAGTTCGGCAACTCGAGGAAGGCGGACCGACTTGGGGGAGCGGGAGAGGATATATTAGGTAGTAGGTACCCAGCCACTAATGGAAGACTCAGAGCTCCAGGGGTGCAGAACCAAGAGCGCGGGGTGTCTGAGACAAACAGACTGTGGCTTCGTCTATTTCTCGAGGGTGGGTATCGGTTGGCTGGTAGGGATGGGGGGTTGCACAGGGGTCTGCGCGAAGTCGTAGTGCAGCTTCAAGAGAATACACTGAACAGAAGGGGGGCAAGCCAGTGATGCAGTGACCTAGTGACCTAGGGAGTGACACACCAGACAGATCCGTCGCAATGGCCTTTCAACAAACCCGGTGCGGCGGTGCCGTGGAATGGGTGAAGAAAGGGTTTCAAGCTTGCTGCACGCAAGGGTCTTGATGGTTTTAGTGTTCAAAGAAAGGTAAGAATACAAAGAAAGCTCAAGTTCAGAATGGGAGGGTGTCAACAGCAAAAAGGAAAACAGCCCAGGACACCAAGCGACGCACGCGTGTTGGAGGAGTGAGTGGACTCGAAGAAAACCCACCCCCAAACCTCAAAAGGGATTGTGACCGAGAGTTGGCTGGGAGGGAGGGGGGGGGGGGGGGGGGGGGGGTTTTGAAAGAAGGGGAAGAGTGGAAAGAGGGTAAAAAGAGGGTAAAGAACGAAATTCACAACATCTGATTGGTCCATTCTTTGCCCAGACTGCGCGCAATCTTTACCCGCGAGTGCCTGCGCACCTTGATGGCCAGCAGTCTGAGAACCTTGATGGCCTCGATGGGCTTCTCACCCTCCAGCCAAGATTTCAGCCCCTCCACCAACGAGGCCGTGAGGAACCCAGTTCCGTGCCAGTTCTGTGCCAGTTCTGTGCCATTTGCCCCAGTTTCAAGGTTTCACCACAACAACCCGAGCCAACAGGAAGAACCGAGGCCTCGTGGGAGCAAGACATACAGGTAACCAGTGACAGACCACACATAACCAGGGACAACATCCAGATTGGAATTAACTTGACATGAGGAAACCTGGAAAATGTAACAAGGAACTGACATCCCACGCGACTTGGTTACTCGGTTCACTCCTTCGATTCACTTGAATCGCTCGAGTCCCCTTGGATTCAGTCGAAATGGACATTCCTGCAGGCCACATCCATGACCATACCTCGGTGGCACCGTGACACGACCTCTCAACCCGTGCCTTGAACTCTTGGCGATGGGACATTGAATGAGCGCATTCCTGCAGTGTCAAGGCCCCCTTTTCAACCGGACCGAGGGGGAGGGGGAGGGGGGTGGCATGTGTCTTCTGTCTCTTTTGGGCTGACCGCGGTGGTTGGTTCTTGGTTGGCAGATGGATCATGGCCCTGGATGAGCTGCGATTCCCTGCTTCAGTCACCAGTGGGCACGCCACATGGCGCATATATTATACCCTCCTTCTGTGCTTCTCCGTGAACCGATCCGATGCTCATGCCCTCCTGTCCCACTCCCACGGCACGCTCCCAGATTCGTCCATCCGTTCACGGTACACCCGGCCACCACACCCCGCAAAATCAAAATGAAGGCCATTGCATACGCCGCCGTCCTCCTGGGACTCGTTTCCACCGCCCTGGGTCAGACCGAAACCCTCGCCCCGTCCCCTACCGAGTCGTACGGCTGCGAGCCGCACGGCGATCACTGGTAAGCCGCCTGCATCCCACGTGGGCGTCCTGTCATGAACCATGATGCTGAACCAATGTCCGTGTGTCTCAGGCACTGTGAGGGTGCTCGTACCGCTACTACGGCGGCTGATGCTGTCACCACTACTGGTGCCCCTGCCACCACTTCTGCCGCCCATGACCATGACCACGACGAGGACGAGGACGAAGACGATGACCACGACCACACTGACGCTGCCGGCACGGGGGCTCTGGCACCTAGCCCGACTGAGTCCTACGGCTGCGAACCCCACGGCGACCACTGGCACTGCGAAGGCGCCATCACTGCTTCTGCCACCGCGCCCCCCGCGGGCACCGGGGCCCAAGACGCCGCCGCCACGTCTTCTACTAGCACCGCAGCAGCTCCTCACTTTGAGGTTGCCGGTTTGGGCTTCGCCGGTATCGCCGCCGTTGCCGCCATGGCTCTTTGAACGAGCGACATCCCTGCGCCTCGTTTCGTTTTCATCTTAGTTCCTCTCAACAACACCCGAGAGTTGGTTTATGTTAGTCATTCGCGGTAGGACGGGGGAAATATGAGAAGGAAGGGGGGGGGGCAAACTAATTCTTTTCACTGTACAAACTTGTAACAGAATAATCCAACGTTATCATCACACCTGGTCGCCTTGACTGTCAGTGTTTCCATCTCCTGATTCTCTTCTCGCCCGTTCCACACTTTTACTCTTTCAACTGATTTATCCTTTTTACTCTTTCAACTGATTTATCCTTTGAAGCCTCGATCACGGCAACCACCCATTTCAATTTCATTTTTTTAAACCCCCGACATGTTTCGTCCAAACATGCGATACCTAGTTAGGTACGTAGTCATGGTTCTCTCGTTGCGCTCGATGAGCCTTGGATTCAGCTCTCTTGGTCATTGAATTTCGTTTGGCGCTGCCCCCCACGCTCAGCTCCTGCAATGTTGGCAGAATTTGGGAAGACTGAGAACCTTGATGGCTCGGCCCCCGTTCTAAAAACATTCGTCTCGCCCGAGCTCACACCCCACCCTCTGCAGTGGGTCTAACGGCGTGAAAGGCCCAAAATATTCCCTTTCTTCTGACCCCGGCTTCTCATTCTTATGCCATCGAAGAGGTAAGGTAACTCCATCCAAGTATGCCACACGATACACTGCCGACGTACTCATACTTAGAGGGTATCCTCAGCACTGAAAGCTTGACAGTGCCGAGCCCTGCATCGAAACCCTCCTCGAGCAAATTTCATCTATTAACCGAAGATCGCACCTAAACTCGGGCCTGAGCAACAAAAATCCCCGCATTTTCAAAATCTGCCTCCGAAATCGCCCGCTGAACTGGAACCCTGCATGCCCCGCCGCACGCTGGCAGGCGCCTTCGCGGAATTTCGAGAAAACAATCCTGTTTTTTGGTGCGTTGGGTTTCGGGTTTCTCAAAATGGAAGCAAGAACACCTGACCCATGCTGGCCTGGTCCAAAGCTCAAGCTTCGCTTTTCGGCTCGACCGGCTCACTCTCCGGCATCCGCATCCGGCATCCGGCATTCGGAATCTGCCGGTGGCAACTCCGTGTCCGGCCATCCGGTGCGGCGGCAATTGAGTGCAACCATCCGGACGGTGGACCGAGCGGCCGAGTTGGCCGGGTTTTCTTCACTCTGCCCTCAACCAGCCAAGCGCACGTTGACCACACCAGGAGAGAAAATGATGCAAGTCATGCGATGGAATGAATGCTGTGCATCTCACCTGAAACACCACGTTGGGCATCACCAGAATGGTTAGGTCCCGACAGGATTTCGCGATGTTCCCAAAGCTGTTGCGGCTCAAAGTGGGCTGACCGCCAGCCGCACTCGGGCCCAATACAAGATCTGATAAACCCGCTGTGGCCCTCCCTCACCGCACTTCCCGCGCCAGGCCGCCCTTTGGGAGACCGGATGCGCATTAAGAGCAGCCCAGTTCCAGCTTCTTGACCCATGGCCCATGACCCATTCATCAACTTGGTTCGACAGAACCCAGGTCTTGCCGTCAGGTCGACCGACAGGACGAGAACCGGAGATGCGGGCGAGCCCGCCCATTTGTACCTGACTGAAACTTCACAAACTGCCAACTGACGATGCCGCGTTTCATGGAGGGTGGAGAAGGCCAATGTGTGGTCGGCGGTCAGGCGCTGGCGCAGGGCTAAAGGGCCTGGAGCAGCTTGGTGGCTGATTTGGGGCGCCGTTCACTGGCTGCTCGAGGGCGACGAGTGGGCACCTATCTGCAGGTCAAGCCAAAGACACAACGAGCCGAACAACTGGAGCCGTGCGATTGGCCCCTGTCTGCCAGACCAACAAAACCACCAAGAACCGACTGCCAGCGCGGCAAAGGAGAGGCAGGGCCATGATGACTCGAAGCTGTCTCGGGAAAGACCCGCTGCTGAGAGTCCCTTCTAAAAGGCACTCTTGAGAAGTAAAGGAAGCGTGAGGACAAAAGTCTCCTGAATCAAGCAACCAAGCGCCGACTTCATCTCGCAGATCGTAAAGCAAACGCCCCTCTTTAAGCGGCTCACCGACTCACCGCCACAACCTCCCTCACCGTGATTTCCGGGTGGCGCTCGAAAGCCAACACAAACCCAACCCGGAACCCGAGTCGAGTCGAGTCGAGTCGAGTCTCTTTGCCAAACTCACCATCGCCATCATCACCATCACCATTACACACGCACCACCGCCAAAATGCCCAACCTCGTCGCCATCGACGTCTCGGTCACCGACGACCGCATCCGGCTCGTCTTCTCAGACCGCGCCGTGGCCTCGGCCTACGCCGCCTACCTCCGCGCCCAAGACCTCCGGCCCCCGCAGTACCAGACCATCCCGGGCTACCAGCGCTCGCCCCAGCTTCACACCACCACCAAGGAGGTCAGCCTGTCGCTGCCCAACTTCATCACCTGGTAAGCTACACTAAAAGTTGACGCCGGTTTTCTCATGGGGGGGGAGGCCAAGCTATTTCTTACTGCACTCATGTTGTCATCCCACCGCCCGCATCGACAGACGCCACGCCCCCGCCACGCCACACATGCATTACCCCGGTCTGCCCCTTGCTATTGGGATCTTATCTTAGACTAGGCCTGTCCGTGCATGTATGTGTGTGTGCGTGTGTGTGTGCGTGTGCGCGTGACTGTCTGCCCACCTGTGGTCTGCATCATATGTTGATCCCTGTGTATGAGAGCAGGGAAAAAAAGGGGGGGGGAGAGCGGGGGCAACGGAGAGAATGCTAACCCCGCGCCCAGGTTCATCACCTGCCGGCTTCCGGACGACGAAGACGCCGTGACCTTCACCTTCATGGACGAGCACGAGGCGCACGCGGCGCGCTGGGCCGACGCCATGCTTCTCTTCGAGCCCGCCCCTCGCGGCCCCGCCTCGGAATCCTCCTCCACCGCCGTCGGCGACGAAGACGACTACTACGACTACGACTACGACGACTCCAGCAGCCACCACAGCAGCAGCCACCACCCCTTCACCAACAACAGCAACTCCCACCCACTACCACCACCACCGCAACAGCCCTTACCAAACCAACAACCACCACCAAGTCAACCACCGCCACGCCTCCTCCCCCATCAAGCAGCTGCACGTGCGCCGCCTGTGGAACCGCGCCCGCCTGCTCAAGCGCCTCGAGGAGCTGCGCCGCCGCACCCCGATCGTGCGGAGCCGCGTCGGCAGTCCCGTGTGGGCGGCCGCGGCGGCGGCCGCCAACGGGGGCGTTGCGCATCACGGTTATGGTGGTAGCGCTGGGAACGGGAACGGAAACGGTGGGCGCATGCCGGTGGGGATTACGGTGCCGGGGGTGCAGAGGGGGGATATTTGGTGGTGAGGATTTTTTTGCTGGTTTTCTTTTTTTGGTTGGGTTCTTTTTTTGGGTCGTGTTGTTTTGTTTTTGGGGGAGGTGGTTTGGGTTCGAGTTTGGGTTGGGGGGTGGTCAAGTTTTGCTTCCGGTCCGTTCCATGAATAGCTTTTTGCTTGGGGTTGCTGTTGCTTCTACTACCGTCACCGTCACACAGTGAACGTTACCTCAGCTCATCTCGGCAGGACGGACGGGACAGATGGGGCAGGTTGATTGTCTGGTTATTTTTTTGGGGGGGCATTTTTGGGGGCTTTTTTTTTTTTTCTGGTGACCGAGGACAAGGTGTCAGGCAGGGTCTTTTTGTGTCAGCTCGTCGAGCGAGGGAGGGATCTTGCATTGGAGGCGTTTGTGGGCGTTCGTTATCTGGGTAAAATCGGGGTCAATGGGAGGCGAGGCGCTTTTGTGCTGTTTTATTTTGTTGTTGTCCGCAATCTTGTCATTCGGCTCCAGAGACCACCCGGCGCTTAACCGGTGCTGGCCTGTGCTATACCGAGAGGAGGAAGTGGCGTTCCGCCATGCTTCCGCCATTGGCCTTGGGCGCTTGGTGTTGGGCATGGACGTGCAGCCGGACCGGCCCATCCGGGATAGTTAGGCGTTGTGTCTGCTCGCGGATGTGATGACGGCTTGGGGCGTCGATCACGCGATCGCGTGCCGAAGTCAACGTTTTCAAATCGAGAAATGAGGGAGAAGCGCTCCGCCAAAACAGCACGCCGACACGCCCAAGCGGGTGATCGGCATTCTCAACTACTGCTAGTGCCAAATACCTTTGCTGCAAATAGCAGCGGCGTCTCCAGTCCCTGTTCCACTCTCGAGTAAGCATCCCCACAAGGTCCACGCAGCATCTCTTGGTGTTGAGCGAAACCGACCAGCACCTGTCGTGTTCTGATCACCAGAGCCGCCGCCACCGATGACTTTTTGGAGTATCCAGTCCATCACTCAAGCTTGACTCATCAAGCCACTCGCTGCAACTAGTGCCAAAATGGCTTGAAACCTTCACGGACGGAAATGCAGGGTTAGGGTTGGTTAAGATTCAGGGGCTTGGGACGGGTCAGCTTTGGTGAGATCGGCGTCTCTTAACGCCGCGTCTATTATTGTCAGTGAACACCACTGATATCTTTGGCGCTAAACCCATGCCGGATGGCGGTCGACCGCCAAGATCGACATTCCCCGTTGCCAACAACAGAGTCGGGCCCCGGCTCGCGCGCTGGGTTGGCCTGCCGAGGAATGCGACGGGTAACTCGCTATGATAAGCCAGGGGAAGCATGTCGACTACTCGGGGCAAGTGAGGGGTGACTTCCGAGGAAGCAGCCAACTCCCTGAAAGGCCTACTGGGCGACTTGAAATGCTTACTTGAAAGTCAACATAAGCCCCTGAGAAGAACGACGACAAGTCGCTCCGGTCCTCCTCGACGAGTGCCCCAACTACCCACACCAATGTCCAAATTAGAATATCCAAGTCCACACTACCGGGGCGATGGCACCCTCCAGCCAAATATACCGTCCGTCATGGAAGCCAAATAGGCCGCATAGGCGTCCTCGTCGCCCCTCCCTCCAGTCTCGCGACAGACAAATCCGCTGCGAATCGGCACCACCAAGATTCAGAATGCGTCCAGATCTTCTCCCGCCCTTGGTGATCCCCAAAAGGCGCTCCCCGCCGCCCATTCTAGTTGCAAGCCATGCTCAGCACCTCCAGCGGGAAGTCGAGCGGCCATTCCGGCCCTCGTACCACAGTCTTTCTCCCAGACTACGAGCCTAGTCGACCACCCGAACTCAAGCTCGACGACATCGACGATATTGACGTTTTCAACTTCTACAACCCCTGCCTCCTCCCACCATCCCCCATCCGGCCGTTCCCGGCCAGGTCGCACACCGATCCCACCTTAAACCTCCCCGCGCCGCCGCCCTACTCGCGGGACCCACCACCCGACTCCATGTCCGCCCCCGGCCTGCGGAGGTCAACCTACACCGTGAGCCGGCGGGGCCGCGAAACCAACCCCCGCCGCACCAACTACGTCGCCATCATGCCACCAGCACCAGCATCACGGCCGCGGTCACCGTCCCCGCCACAATCAAACCCCGAGCTTGACCTCGTCTCCCCGCTCTCCATTCAGCGCTCCCCCTCCCCCTTGACCTGCCTGTCTTTCTACTATTCCGAACTTAACTACAACCCTTTCCGTGACGGACTGCTACATGTCCTGGGCTCTGGCGAGACAGCAGCCGAGTATGACAGGTGGACTCAGGGACTCAGTTCCTTGCCAGAGCATCTGAGTCACTGGAATGCCATCAACCTTGATCACCAGCAACAATTCGATGAGCTCTGGAGCAGGCTCCGCTTCAACAGGAACGTGTTGGACCACTACATGAACACCTTTGTCTTCCCAGCCCACGCGCGGCAATTTGAGGTCAAGATCCAGGCGTCGGGGTGGGATCTCCCTCTGTTACCCATGTCCTCTGACCCCACTGTGCCTTCTCGTGCGATCTCGACAGGATTCAGTGGGACAACGACTAGCAGAATGCTGCTTCCGTTAGAATCAAGCTGACGACCTACCAGTCTACACTAAACGAACGCCGAGTGCTCACTTACCTCCTTCAGCTCCGGAATCGAGAGTA